TATGCATTTCGAGCCTATCCGTTTCTGGGGCTACTCACCAGTATAAAACATGGTATCGGTAACGAGTGAACCGAAGTAGTTCCTGCCATATTATTAAAATTAGTGTTCAAGGCTACATCTCATTTTTGAGCTTCAACATTCCTAAACCAGTTCCCTGAGACTTTGTCAGGAAAGATGGCCAGTTGGCCCTGTATGGTGGCAACTAACAGCGTATAGACCACACTGAAGCCTTTGTGCTGCAGCACCAGTTCTTCTGGGGAAAACAAATCTGTATTAGCAAGTTTCTGCTAAAAAATGGCAGCACATACAGGGCACCAAGAAGGAAAAGACAAAAGTGGGGGAAATGAATCCTTTGCAGAGAATATTAATTATTCAGTGTCCTGATACAACACATGGGACAGCAGTCTAAGGTGTCACGCGTTGCTGCTCACAAACTGACGCTACACCAGAAATCGCACTGTGGAAAGCACCACGAAACCAGCAAGAACATTATACAGAGGCAACTATCCTAACTTTTCTCCATATTGCTTGGAGGATTTTAAATTCTAGATTTTAACAGTTACTAGCATGATGAAAATCAAGGCGGTTTTTCCGTGTTTCATAACTTTCCTCTTAGAGCAGCTTTAGTAGTATTTTTAAGTTCCAAGTCAACTAATTCTGAGAGTGTTTTGATTTCTCCTTTGGTGTGAGACCATTTCCGCACCACAGACTTCTGAACTGGGTTTGAACTCGCTCTCCAGCACAGGGGGACAGTGCGAAAATTGACCAGCAATTCTCAAGAAGATTAAAAAGGTGGGGATTTATTGTCTGCAGACATAGGGCTGAAGGGAGAGGAGAGCTCAGCTGTCTTTTATTGAGCATTCTGTTGTCTTTCTGCAAAGAGCAGAAAGCCCACGCAGAAAACACATATAGAAAACCCACACAGAAAACCAAACTAGCCAAGAAAGAGGAGGCTGTTAAGGCAGAGCTCCAAACAAACACCACTTCAAATATCAAAGAAAAAAGCTAGCAATAATACAGGCCTAGTAAGTCACAGACAGCCTGGCAAAGGAAAGGTGCTCTCTTATCCTTGTAGATCCGGGTTACAGCAGCTGTGACTCCTGCAACCGCATCATTGACTCAGTTCTCGATCAGGTCAGTTGCACAAAGGCTCATTAAATATTTACAGGTGACATTTTTCTGACTTGTGACAACCAGGATCAAGATAACCATCCATTTTCTACAGCCATTCTGTTCAAATAAGTTTGTAAAGTCAATCAGCAAGAAAAGAACAAATAGCAACAGAGCCTACAGGATAACAATTGCTAGGTTTTTGACCAGCTACAAATGAAAAATCTTACCCCTTGAACACCACAGAAAACGGCCATAGTTAGAGAAGGTTTCTTCAACAAACTTAGCACCTCTTAAAGAGTGCAGGGCACAAACTTCAGGACTAAGAACAAAAAGAACAACAAAGAGATCAATTTCTAATCACAATAGTTGCTGAAGATTGTTCTGAAATGGCCAAGTATGGTAACGAACTGATTTTTTTATCTGGGACATAAAGCAACAAGCAGAAGAAAGAAATCTCACACACACTAAAATGCATTTCCCACAAGAGGATGTCTCCATAGAAACCCCAAGAAAGTTGATTTCTTTGTGTCTCATGTGCAAACACATTACTTGCACCACCCAGTACCTGGTAATGCACTAACAAAGCAAATTTCTTGTGTAAATGAGATCTAAATCACACTGCTGTGTAGAGAAACTCATGATTACAAAGATAAAACAGCCACCAAGTCTTAGTTTGTACGTACAGACACGCTCAACTACTTGGCAAAAAGGCTTCCACCACAGAAATTTCAGAGTTAAAAATAGAAGGTGTGCTTCAGAATAGCGAAGTTTTCTTCCCACAATCCTGGCATTGTGTTTCTTTTCTGACATGAATACTTGTGAAAGTAGTGGGAACGCCGGTACTGGAGACAGCCTACTACTGAAACCACATAACTGGTACACTGACAGAAACACAAGTTCCCTTTACCAGAATATCCCTACCTCCTGTACCCAGGGACCTCTCAAAGCACTAATTCAGCTTTCTTGCCTTTTGCAACTCATGGCCTCTCGGCATGGGCTTTTACCGGGCTCCCACAGGCCCTGCTAGTTTTCACAGCAGAGCTGGGACAGGGCTTAGACACCTGCCCCCTTGCTGACCCCAGACTGCAGCCACGACGACGCGAGTCTTCTGGCTAGGTTAGAGCCTAAGCCAGGTACCTGCTGGTAAAAAGCTCTAATAATTCGTTACCAGTCATTCTTAATTCATCCTGCTACTCTGTCCGCAGAAACTATAAGTTGTGAAACAGAAGCAAGAGAAGATGCTTCAGCCAAAGAAACCAAGTCCCACTTCACTGAAATAGCCCTCTCGTTACCCTTCACGTTATGTGGGGCTGCAGAATTTGTGTCTGTGTTCCCAAACACAGGTCACATTTAAGCTGAAAATGTTCTTCACTGTGTGACACAAGCACAATGCCCATGGTGTCTTGCTCAAACCAGCGCACTACAGCCACAGAAACAAGCACAGGAGAAGAGGGTTCCTACACCTTACGCCAGACTGACAGAAATAACCGAGTGGCATTGAGCTGCTTTGCAGACCAGAGTAGCTGTGTCTCAGGGCTCTTAAGAAATGCTCCAAATACTTGGTTAAAATGCTCTGTCATTTTAAAAAGAAATCATCTCTGTTTTTTATCTCTCCAAATCTATCTCCATGAATACATATGTTCCTCGTTAAGGTCAAACACTTCTGAATGTCCCCAGTTGATGCAAGCAATCAGGGTTTGCCTAATCCAGTTTACACAAGAGGTTAACACAGACAAGCAAAAGCTGAATGCCATTTACCAAGCGACAGCGTGGAAAGACACTCATTGCCAACTTATAGCAAAGTATCCCTGCACTTAACTCAGGAGACACCGCTTCCATTCTTTAACAATTTCCTCAGAGCAAGTACCTAGCCATAAAACCCCACAACTCAGATGCTATAGGAACACTGATTTCACACCTGATTTTCTCATACCCAAAATTACTTGGTTATAGACTAACTTTGCCCCATAGCAGCAAAGCAGACAGAAGAGGTGAACACACAACACACCTTTGCCACTGGTTGCCTTTGCTGTAACTACGTCTATTGCTAATGCAGAATCATTTGTGAAAATCTACCCTGATGCAAAATTGTGATGAACACTCAAGATACCACACCACTTTCCAAACAGTGTGTTCTCAAAGTAGGTACGCGTTGTCTTTGTAGCAGGTCAATCTTTAAAAGTGTACTAGCAACTTTAAACAGAACAACCAGAAAAGCAAGAAAAGTTGGAAGTTCTTGAGCAAATATTTTTTTTGTTGGCACCTAACCCCATACCTTGTGCAGGCTCAGCCGTGTCCCCATCCGAGCCGGGGCAGAGGTCAGCACGAGCCATTCAGCAGTTGCTGAGTGGAGTTCTGGCCACTCCGTGTGCGGCGGCGAAGGGAATCATCAGTGCCACTTCCATTGCGAGTTCAGGGCAGCAAGCCAGTTCCCAAGCTCCAAAGCAGACACCGTCACAAGCGGTGCTGAGCTCCGCCACCACAGCAGAGCGCAAAGGAGGAGGTAACCGCTGAACGAACAGCGCCTTAGCACATTCACTTGAGGCCTCCTAGATACAAAGAAAGCTTAGGACAACCCCCAGCTGTCAGCTAACAGGAAAAATTTGTGTGGACCAAACAGAAACTGTATTTGGATCACTACTACAGAAGCGCACCATCACAGCTTCTCCCAGCAGTACAACAGGCTCAGACTGAACAAGAAGTAATTAAGGGAATTAAAGTCAGAACTTCCCATTTAAAAAGACACCGCAGTCTCCTGTGGATAACAACCCATTTAAGCAGCTCAGCATTTCCAGTACATCTAACACCTCAGTGTGCCAACGACAGGGGCCAGGATACTAGTTAAAGCATTAAATTCAACCAGCAATAAAAGCTGAACTGCAAGAATTGAAGTTTTTGGTAGTACTGACAATGCTCATAGAGAGAAGCATAAACAAGATCATCATTCTGTAGGGGGAAAAGCTGCAAATACGATCAATGAGCATGCTCTGTACTGGGCTCAGAGCGAGACAAGACACAAAATCCCACCTGCTTTGAAGGCAGGAAATTGTCACCTCTGGCGTTTTTCTTTCCCTGTTCACATCAGGCTGTATTACAGAGGGAATTTCACCACAGCTTCATGTTACAGAACGAAACACCTTTTAGTTGTGCAATTTTTTACTGACAATACTAGTAATTCCCAGTCTTTCTGGCAAGAAAACAAAGTCAAGGCAGAACAAACGCCACTCCCACGTGAACAGAGAACGCTGGACTGGGAATGCTTCCACGCACTGGCACAGGCCTCTCAAAAGGAACGGGCAAGGCGGTCACTCCTCCAGCTCCTCCTGATGGCAAGCGACAGGCACAGCACCCTAACAAGGCCCTGGGATGAGAACGTCAAACGCCACAGTAATGGAGACCTAAGCACATAACCAAAACACGGCTTGGTGAAAGGCAAAGCCTGATTTGATCAAATGCTAGCATCAGTGGAGGGGGCAGACGCAAACGCACAGGTTGCCTCCTCCAGGTCCACGACGGAGAAACTTCAAGCTGAGCACCAGTTGAGGCCGATGGCTCTGGTTTAAACCTACTGCCCAATGGACTTAGCTAAGGAAAAACGGAGAATGACACCTACAGAACAGAGGAGGGATGTTAACAGTGAGAGGTGATGAGGCTGTCAGGCCCCGCAAGACAGAAGAGAGATTGTTAAGGCAGCCAAGGATATAAGGTTTGAAAATGGCTCAAAATGCAAAGGGTGACTTCCATTCATATATTCATCATCTCAAGAGTTCATATAGCTGCCTGGGTTACCTTTTCTTTTAAGAACGAACATTAAAAAAATCCAAACGATGATGAACAGAGAGAAAGCACACGGGAAAACAATACAAAACACACACAGACACCCCACAGGTATCAAACATTTTATTTATTTGTTAAAGAAACTACAGCAATACACATGATTACAGAATTACGAAGCACTGTAACACAAAAGGAATGAAATGGCCTGGGTCCAAGCATTAACGACCTCACGCCTTTTCTTTCGAACTACCATCACTCAGAAAAATTACATTATCTGAAAGAAATAAAGAAAAATTAATCTTCAGGATTGCTTTGCCCTGCTGCAAGCCTGCACACCCATAAAGACAACCTATTTGTGTTAAAAGAAGCTGCAAAGACGTGTCTTTTGGAACAGAATAGTTTACAAAATAAAACAGCATCAGATACAGGGTTCTTGCTCTATCTCCCCAGAAAGCTGCCAGTTCAAGGCGACTGTATATATGCTACGAAACAAGTGTGCTAAACCTGATAAAAAGCTGCTGAACAGGCAAAGATACCAGAAACGTTTTAAAATAATGGTTTAATGGTTTCTTCAATTACAATCTCTATCAGTTACAGCTTATTTCCTTTTTGTTTTGTCATTTTCAGTATGCACTACCATGTCATCAGCCTATGGGACTTACAGGAAGCTCATCTTTCATCAAGCCTCAGTAATTTCTAAAGCATCTTGAGACTGGGGATATTAAATATGGAGAAGAAACCATTAGGATAAATACTAATTAAAAAAAAAAAAAGAGACTGGCTTCTCCCCCCGGGCTATTTGTGAACAGCAGCCTACAGCGCTGCCAGCTGAACTGTTCAGGTGGAAGTCTGATTGCTATTGTTTTAAAGAGGCTGCACAGCAGAAATATACAGAATTGTGGTTGGTTTTTCTCTTTCTCCTCTGGCCCAGCTTTTTTAGATGTACTTGTGTAACAGAAATGTTTGCTCTACTACATAATTACTTTAGCCCTCCCTCAAAAGCCACAAGATAGGGGCTCTACCCACAGTAACGATGTAGGATGCTCGCACTATTTAAAGGCTCAAGGAAAAAGTTGAATTTCCCAGTTGTCTTCTTCACTGTGTCTGCCCAAGGGACAAATCTACTCCCTATCCACTTTGTGCTCTTCTTACCACTACTGGCTACCAGATCGAGGTGTTTTTAAATTCTCCATCAAGTTATCCCCACATAAAGCATCTTTCACAAACAGAGGTCCTTAAAGCTGGTGAAGCCTCCAGTCTTAAAAAGGAAGAAAAAATTCCTTGCCAAACCGAGACAAAGCTACTAAACAACCTCTGCTCAGAAAAGGAACCCACCTGACCTGCAGTACTACATACCAGTGTTTTTAAAACACACAGAATCTACCTGCTGCACCAACTGGTTTATGTGAACAAGCTACGCAGCAGTTTGCAACGACGTGCTCCCGTTTTCTGTGTCTCCACCAGCAGTGCCAGCGGACATCTAGTGCTACAGCCTACTCGTTCTCTCAAAATCCCCAAGTCTGGATTGCAAGGAAGATGACAAACCAAGCTCTGTCCTCAAGGTCCTCCACCCCCTCTCCACTTTAAAAGGGCAAGGTAGGCCTTGGTGTGCTGTTCCTTACCTGCTATAATTGTTGTGGCCTGCCGCCTCACGTTGTTTTTATCCGTATATTCACCATAGTCTATCTTCCCTTCGACATAGAGTCGAGCACTGAAAAAATGAAGAAGTTGGCTCTGGTCACAGAGCTGTACTGCTGTTTTCTCCTTTATATCCAATTGTGAATACACAGGCAAAAGCCTCACTTGTTTGTAGCCTGTCTACTAACTTATTTTATGGCACCTGCATCTTAGCATAGGTCCTGGTCACCTTAATTATTACATCAATCGATTATTAAGGCATTAAATCCTCAACCACATTTGTTATTCACTTACCCCCTCTTCACATACTGATACGTAAGATCCCTGAGGCCCGGTCTGAAGACAGAGATCCTGTGCCATGTTGTCTTCTGACTGATATCACCTAAGGTACATAAAAACAAAGAAGTTGGATGCCAAATCCTCCTTTTGACGCAAGCCTCAGAAATCAGTTTCAACACGTCGGCATTCTCAAATTATGAAAAGTGACGTGGAATGGAAGTGTGCTGGCACTCGATCTCCCACTCCATACTAGAACTCAGCATTCCCCTCATCTGTGTCCAAATGGAAGCATTCCGCAGAAGCACAGTTCAAACCAAGAGACCAGTTTTCCTGAAAGCCAGTGCTCATACTAGAAGGATTTTTCTCCCCTCACGCACCACGCCTTGAACAAAAGTTAGAGAGAGACACCCATAGCTGCAGACTGATGGAAGAATCAAAGAGAGAACGTAGCGTTCTTTTTTTCCCCCCTCTTGGAATACAAATTAGAGTACGGAACCTGCAACACCTCTGGCAACCCCAGCAGTGAGAAGCTGCCAATTCAATGCTCTGCTCTCCTCCAGAGGAAGGTCAACATGCAGATCTCTATTCAGAGATCAGCAAGAGACACACAAACGCACCAGCGCCTCTGCTGACCTCGAAGGAACTTCCCTGCACCCGAGAGATTTACACGGCAGCCTGAAGACAAAGCGTGGTGCTACTGAACACGCAAACAAGACCTCGGAACACGGCGGAAGCACGTTGCTCACAGCAGACTCACCTCCCTGGGTCGTGTCACCTTCCCCTGTTCGCCACATCTCATTGGTTGCAAGAGAAAATATGGTAACGGGATTTCTTCCCTCCACTTGCCTCATGACAGGGTCCTGTCCAACCCGGCCGAGTAACTGAACACGGTTCATGGCTGAAACGCGAGAGGGTAAACACACGCACAGGTGAATCAGGATGCCGCCAATCATAGCGAGTCGTAAGTCGGCCGCTTTTGTCAAGGGCCAGAAGAATGACTTTCTGCATCTCCTAACCATTTTTCAAGCTCTCAGGGCTTTTGGCTTATTCAGGCCCTGCAGACTGTTGGCTGTGCCTGTACTATCGTTATCGTTGCTGAATAAGCTCATTTAGAAAGCTAAAGGTTCTTTATTCTTTCTGTTCCTTTGTCATCTTTTTCACAGACACATCCATATGTCACTTGAGACTATTTTGCATTTACTTATCTTGACTTTTACCTTCTTCATTATGACAATATGCATTGTTTTGTCCTTACAACAGTACCTTTAAAACAACAAAGCTGCGTTATTACACCCCATCCTTCGCTAGTCTTTACACAGGTATCAGGACTAGGTGGACAGAATTTATTCCTCCTCCTTGTTGAAGGACAACTGGAGGAGGTCAGGGAAGCACCACCCTTGCGCAATGAGCACGTGAACTGAATGGTAAAGTCTGAAGCAAACGCCTGGAGCAAATCATGCCGGGGCAGCAGCCCCCAAACAAGGCCCCCAGCCACACGGGAGTCTGAGAAACAAGCACGTGAGACACCTGAAGGCAGGTATTAGAAAACATGACAACGGCGTACCTGCCTCGCTGCCATCGACAAAGCATGACTCCCTGCCTTTTACAGGTTGTACTCCCTGCCAGGGCTTTTTTCATTTCCCCCTTAAGCGCTGCTTGACTTGAGAACGACCAGACAGGAAGCTACTTCAGAGTCTGGCTGTTGGAAACAACACGTTCTCACTTACCGCATTCGGGAGCTACCATCCCCACCCGTTTCTCTCCTGGCACACTTCAGCCATTCTGAAACCAAGGCAAAAACCACAAAGAGTAACAGCTACGTTTCACCACAGGAGCTACTTACATCTTTCGAGCACCAACGAGCCCACCGTGTCAGACTCATGTCTTACAAACTGGCGCAGCACCTGAAGGGACAGACAGGTGTTAGTCTCCAAGACACAAAGTATGAGCAGCGTTTGCGTGCCTTTACACCCCATCTTCCAAACGCTTACAGAGGCTTTGCAAGCAGGGTCTTTCCCAGTGACTTATGGGGGGCACTGAGGGGAGAAATCTGTTCAGCTAAATGAAGCCAACAGGATTGTTCAAAGAACATTTGGTTACACTGGGGTTAAAAAAGGAAAAAGGACGGCCCGAAGGCGCATCTCCAGCAATTATTTTTAGGACATGCAGTAACTGCTGTTTTCCATAATACAGAATTGGAGAGGGGTCGGAGGGGTAAAGCAGAGGGATTGTTTAGCTGGGCTTCGGGTTTTGGAAATAAACACAGTTTTGACAGAATCACAGAATGGTTTGGGTTGGAAGGGACCTTACAGCTCATCTGGTTCCAACCCCCCTGCCATGAGCAGGGACACCTTCCACCAGCCCAGGTTGCTCAGAGCTCCATCCAACCTGGCCTTGAACGCTACCAGACAGCTTCGACAGCTTCATCAGCTTCCCGCTTCGCTCGAGAGACTGACGAGACCTGCCCAAAGCGCGCACCCACAGCACATCAGGGCCGCGAAACCCGAGCGCCGCAGCTCAGCGGCAAAAAGCAAAGGCACCGGCTTGGCGCCGGAAACGTCACGCCCGGGGGCAAAGGGGGACAGGAAAGCGCGGGAGCGCCTCTGCCAGAGCCCCGGAGCCGGCGGAACGCCTCACACCGCCCC